CTGCTCGGCCATTCGACTCGCCAAAATAAGTATCGTTATAGACTCTCAGTGTGTTTTACCTGGTATAAACTAATGATTGATTTTTTTTCTGCATACTTTCATATACGATTTGACTCTTAAACATGGAATTTATTTTCTTGTCTCATTTCATATACCTGTAGGATTCAAATCCAGTGGCAGAGGAGTAGAGGGGGCCAGGGAGGACATTAGGATAAGTTTGAACGCCGCTAATCCATTTAGTTTCATTCGAAACGTCGGATTTTCCGCTATTTTCGCTATTTTTTCTCACATTTCTCTTCATAATTTCACTTCTACTTGTCCGATTTTCGCCATTGTTCTTTTATTCTATTCCAAATTTAATAATTGTTTTATTAACCTTATTTTTAATTCATAAGGTTGCGAAATCTAGTCGGACTTTTTCATTTTTGTAACCGTAGTTTTTCAAATTTTTACAGTGTAAAACCTACGATTTTAGTCGAAATGTGGCGAATCGCCCGAGGTTTTTATGTCGTAGCTCCACTAATATTGGGCCGATGTGTTGTGGCAATCTGTAGCTTTATTTATTAACTACAACATATATAAAAATCAATTAGATTGGTTAATAAATTGCGTCGGACTTTTTATCTTTATAAAAATCTACCATTAGCAAGTCAGTTTAAAAGCCAATGCTTTAGAATAGTGCTTGGAGAATTCACCGGATTTTCGTGCAGAACTAGCTTCACTTTGGAGGTATAATTTATAGTTTTATTTACTGTACCTTGAAATATAAGTTTGATTTTTAGTTTGTGCATGTGTAGATGAACATATTGGTATAAATTTTAATGTATTTACCTACGAAATATGGCAGTTATGGCAATTTATAAATGGCGACATTACGCTAGGCCCACAGATTCTCCTCCGGTTCACTGTCTGATAATCAGACTACACCATTTTCAATGGGGCATGCTAGCTAGGTGTAGTAGAAACATCTATAATGTTAATGAATGGGCATATTCTGGACTGTTAAAAATGTATAGGCCTAGGCCCTAACTATTAATATGATATAATATTAATAAATTGAAGAAATTACTACTCTCTAGCCTAATAATAAATACCCCTATTTTGCAGTGGTACCGTCCGCACGCTTTAATGACCAGCCGTTGAATTCGCATCGACGAGATAAGGGGATTATCAAACCGTACGCGAAGGCAAATTTGACCAACTGGGTGATCAAACTTATCCTAATGAATTCTCTACCACACAGCCCGACCATAGTTGGGGGCTGAGATAAGAAAAGTTGATTATGGCACGTCTAGATGGCCAGAAATGCCACTCTCAGACATAAAATTGCAATTAATTTGAACTAAAGTGTATTATGAATTTCTGTTATGTCGAATTACTGTTAAGTGCAAATGCAATCAACTTAACATTAAATCTATTCGTGTTAACTACAATTGAATTAGTGTTAAGTGTAAGACATTCAACTTAACATTAACTTGTATTCAAGTTGACTGTAAATGAATTAGTGTTAAGTGTAATGCATTCAAATTAACATTAAATTTATTTCGAGTTAACTGCAATTGAATTAGTGTTAAGTGGAAATGCATTTAACTTAACATTAAATGCATTCGAGTTAACTGCAATTGAATTAGTGTTAAGTGGAAATGCATTCAACTTAACATTTATTGTATTTGAGTTAACTTTAATTGAATTAGTGTTAAGTGCAATATAACTGTAATTAAATTAGTGTTAAGTTGAAATGCATTCAACCTAACAATAATTGTATTCGAGATAACTGGAATTGAATTAGTGTTAAGTGTAATTTGTCAGTTTCATAAAGCTGTATTTTGATACAACAGCCAATCACAATCACACAATGGAATACCAAATATGATCAATTAGTGTTAAGTGGAAATGCATTAAATTTAATATTAAATGCATTCGAGTTTAACTACAATTGAATTAGTGTTAAGTAGAAATGCATTCAACTTAACATTAGATGCGATTCGAGTTAACTTAAATTGAATTAGTGTTAAGTAAAAATGCATTCAACTTAACATTAATTGCATTCAACTTAACATTAATTGTATTCGAGTTAACTGCAACTGAATTGCAGTTAAATTGAACGAATTTTAACTTAACTTCATTTGCAACGTATTACACTTAACACTAATTCAATTGCAGTTAACTGGAATGCACTTAATGTTAAGTTGTTTAACACTAATTCAATTGCACTAATTCAGAGGTATTTGATGAAACGGCTTGCCATACGGACGTGCAGAAAATGTTGTTCATATAAACTAGAGGTGATTTCCAACAAACGTTCATCGCCCTTTTTCAAGACTCCGGGATTCCCCCTACACCTACAAAACAAAACATGGATGGCGCAGTCGGTTATAAGGTACAAATGAACATTCTAATTAATAATTTGTTTTGTAAATATAAATATTCTAATTATTAAAAATGTCTATCTTATTAGCTCTTCCAAATATTACACATCT